AGTACGTCACCTTTTGTTCCTGTAATCTTTACATGCAAATAGGAAAAACTGGGGAAAGATAGCTAAGATAAAGAAGAATACTACAGATAAAGATGACTCAAAGAATCTAAAATTGCCACTGGCAATAACCCAATGCATTGTATACAAACAAACTAGTGGAAACCCAAAAAAATTTAATAAATAAAGTAATAAAAATCGATGCCTGGTAACTCGATAAATAAAGAAGGATCAATGGAGTCTAGCGTTCAAAGGCAAAGCATATAAATGCAGAGATGGACACACGTCTGTGCTAGATATGCTAGTCTGGAAAAATATATATATATATAACTAGGACTAGCAATTGCTTAGCAAGATCAGCATGCACCCGCTATAGAGGAATAAACATCCTATAGCCTAGACAGATTCAGCACGTGCTGTTTAAAATAAGAGAGAAAAAAAAGTATAAGGGTAGTCAAGAGATAGAAGGTGGCTAATCATGACTCAAATAACAAAAATGAGACATGCAGTACTGTAAGGCTAACGTCTGACACTACTATAAAAAATGGTCTGGAATAGCTACAATAGAATATGATGGCCGCATACCTCTGCCTGTGCAATGGCTACTGTCTGTAAACTAGAGGAGATCAAGGTTAGCTAGGATGGGCAAACGTGTTAGTATGGGACATATGATAATGCTGAATAAAGGCTGCCAATCTTATTCCTCACAGACAACACTTTGACAATGGTAACTATAAATGTTATCTTTTAGTAGGATACATCCGTGAGTGCAGAATGCAAAAGTGGGGAAATATCCCAGTGTATAAAGCTGGAATAGTACCAAGATGGGAAGCAAGTGGTGCTAGTAGACCTCTAAGGATGGTCTGAAATGGCTGTAATAGCGTATGCTATATTCTTCCTATAATAAAGTATATTTTATTTTCATATATATTTTTTGCGTATGTATTAGATATTTGAGTCATCTTTATCTGTAGTATTCTTCTTTATCCTATCCATCTTTCCCCAGTTTTTCGATCTGGTACACCACCTTTCATTCTATATATAGATTATACTAGGGGTTACCCCCCTTACATCTGTGTACCAATTATTGGCTTATTCGAGTTTCTTTCAACGTTACATGCAAATAGAATTGCAAGTAGATCAGGTATATTCCAAGACCGAATTTATAAACATTATATAACATAACCAGCACAGCCAAACTAAAATAGCTTAAAACCAAAAAAAAAAAAAAAAGTGCTATATTTACTTCTGTTGTGTTAATTTATTAAATCTGCATTATACTTGAGAGTTTTTCTATCTGGTCTGATGTATAGACTGTATACAAAAATAATCAATGCTGTAAGTACATATATTTTAGGGGCCAGTAACCTGGACAAACTTGTATACTGTCTCTTTTGTGTAAAAGACAATACTAACATTATGAGGTATGACTGTAGTATGGTTGGATAGGGTGTGCTAAGGGGACATGTTGGTGAAGTCAGGCCATCCTGAAAAAGGGACAAGTGTTAGTCTACTGCGCATGCACAGGACTGTCCTGCAAACCTGTTACAGTTGGGTGCAGCCATCACTCAAAGACGCGCAATGCCCATGTACGTGTTGAGAATTCTCTGCTAATATTCTTTTCACGGTCACAGGCTGCACACAGAGATTTATGCGACAGTTTGCATTTTTATTGGATGCCAGGCTGTGCCAGCACAGTCTGCCATTTGATACAAGGCCACATTTTTTAAAATAGAAGACGTTTCTAAAGGTAACTTAAATAGCTAACTTTTAGTTAAAATGTGTCATTACCTTCAAGGTAACCATTTCTCTGCATTTGCAAGTGATATTTTTTACTTGCATTTTCTTCATTACTTCACTACATATTGTTCTTTATTTTTTTGCAATTACATTATGTTCTGAAAGGATTTATTTTTTTACTTGCTTATGAAATGTACTATTATGTAAAAGTATTAGCTTTTATATAACAAATTGTAATTAGCACTAGATACTACAGTTCTTGTGGTTATTTTAAGTATGTTCTCACTAAATTTTGTATGTCTTTTAAAGGAACACTATAGGCACCCAGACCACTTTAGCTTAATAAAGTGGTCTGGGTGCCTGGTCCATCTAGGATTAACCCTTTCTGCTGTAAACATAGCAGTTTCAGAGAAACTGCTATGTTTACCTATGGGTTAATCCAGCCTCTAGTGGCTGTCTCATAGCATGCTTCTCACTGTGATTTTCATTTTTTTGAGAATGCTTTCCTATGGACTGGTTAAATGCGCGCGCAGCTCTTGCCGCACATGCGCATTCAGCCAATGACGGGGAAAGGAGGCGGAGAGTAAGTGATTTAACCCCTTCCTATCCCTGGAGCCCGGCGGGAGGGGGACCCTGAGTGTGGGAGCACCCTCAGGGCACTATAGTGTCAGGAAAACGAGTATGTTTTCCTGGCATTATAGTGGTCCTTTAAGTGTGTATCACTTTTTGGGTTTTTGAATCTTGCTAGTGGTCGATTCAATGTATTATATTTTTATATGAGGCATGTATACTCAAAAGGTACAGCTGCTCTTGAACTATAGATCCTGGGAATCTAAGCCAGCAATGTATTGTGTACAGGCTGTCTGATGGTCAAGGACATTTTAAAGGAACACTATAGGGTCAGGAACACAAACGTATTCCTGAGTTAGACCCCCTGGCCTCCCCTTGCCCCCTAAATATATTGCAATCTGCTGCTGCTGCTGGCTCTGTCCATGATCTACCTGCTTGGCTGACATCATCAGAAGTGATTCTCTGAGCCAATCACAATGTTTTCACAAAGGAAATCATTGGATTGGCTGAGACTGTCAAGGAGGCAGATCATGGGCAGAGCCAGCACAAGCCAAATACAACCCTAGCCAATCAGCATCTCATCATAGAGATGAATTGAATCAATGCATTTGTATGAGAAAAGTTCAATGTCTCCATGCAGAGGGTGGAAACACTGAATGGCAGGACTGCACATTGTGCAACACTGCCACAGGAAGCACCTCTAGTACCCATCTGAAGAGTGGCCAGTGGAGTTATCCCTAGGCTGTAATGTAAACACTGCATTTTCTCTTAAAAGACAGTGATTGCTGCAAAAAGCCTGAAGGGAATGATTATACTCACCAGAACAAATACAATAAGCTGTAGTTGTTCTGATGACTATAGTATATACCTTTAACTGAAAACCAACTAAAGTGCTCCCTTTTGGTTGCCATTGGTTCAAAGAACTGGACACAATAACAGCATACTTGTTTTGTTCAGTACCACAGACAGAAGAATCTCCAATGTGTTTTACAAAATACTTAGTTCAAGTATTTAAATAAGTAAACACATTTAAAGATACCACTCACAGTAAAAATCACATGCTTTATACCAGTGATGGCGAACCTTTTTGAGCCCGAGTGCCCAAACCGCAATACATGCCAACATTTTTTCTCCTTAAAGTGCCAACACGGCAATTAAACCCAAATACTGAGGTTTAAGTTTAGAAAAAACAACTCGTACTGTTGTCCGAACTAATAACTTTTGTTTTAAAAGAACACAGAGAGTTCAATGATACAAATTTTAAATAATGATATAAATAGATAAAATTAAGCTTATATTTATTAGTATCTCCAACAAATGCAATACATACACACACAGACTGCTGAATACATACACACAGTCTGCTGAATACACACACACAAGACTGCTGAATACAGAGACTGATGAATACACATACAGACAGACTGCTGAGTACACACACACACACACACACACAGACTGCTGAGTACACACACACACACACAGACTGCTGAATACACACACACAGACTGCTGAGTACACACACACACAATACACACACACACACAGACTGCTGAGTACACACACACACACACACACTGCTGAGTACACACACACACACACAGCTGAATACACACACACACACTGCTGAATACACACACACACACTGCTGAATACACACACACAGACTGCTGAATACACACAGACTGCTGAGTACACACAGACTGCTGAGTACACACACACAGTCCGCTGAATACACGCAAACACACACAGACTGCTGAATACACGCACACACACACTGCTGAATACACACATACTGCATTGAGGTGGGGGGTGCGTGTGTGTGAGTGTTGTATGTGGGGGGTGCTGTGTGTGTAATGAGAGTGCACATGTGTGTGAAAGTGCTGTGTATTGTGAAGAGGAAGTACTGTGTGTGTGAAGAAAGTGCTGATAATGATATTGTCAGAGAATGCTGATGATGACAGTGTGTGAAGTGCTAATGTGTCTTATATGTGTGGGAATTACTTTCATGGGGGTAGAAATTTTTGTGTGGGGTAGGTACTGTGTGTGTGGGGGATAAGTACTACTTTCTGGGAGGAGGTGGGGTATGTGTGGGGGTAGGGGTACTGTGTGGGGTAGGGGTACTGCTGGGGGTTAGGGGGTACTGCTGGGGGGTAGGGTGTGGGGGTAGGGGGTACTGGGGGGTTAGGGGGTACTGCTGGGGGGGTAGGGGTACTGTGTGTGGGGTGTTAGAATTACTGGGGGTTAGGGGGAGGTTACTGCTGGGGGTAGAGGGGTACAATGTATGGGGGTAGGGGTACTGCTGGGGGTAGGGTTACTGTGTAGCAAGGGGTAGGGGTTACTGCTGGGGGAGGTGGGGGGTTACTGCAGAGGTGGGGGTAGGGAGGGGTTACTGCTGAGGGGGTAGGGGTACTGCTGTGGAGGGTAGGGGTTACTGCTGTAGAGGTTACTGCTGTGGAGGGTAGGGGTTACTGCTGAGGGGTAGGGGTACGGGTAGGGGTACTGCTGGGGGGGTAGGGGTTCTGCTGGGGAGGGTAGGGGTTACTGCTGGGGAGGTTAGGGGTTACTGCTGGGGAGGTTAGGGGTTACTGCTGGGGGGGTATGGGTGCTGTGTCAGTATACCCCCCCCTCCTTCTTACCTTTAATGAAGTAGGGGGGGGGGGGGGACAGCGATCCCTGGTGGTCCGGTGGTGGTAAGCACTGCAGGGGGAGGGCTCCAGGAAGCAGCTCCCCTGTCCTCCGCGCAATGCGCTCCACACAGCATCGCGCGGGAGGACAGGGGAGCTGCTTCCTGGAGCCCTCCCCCTGCCTCCCGACCCGGAAGCAGAGTAGGCGCCTGTTTCGGGCAGGCGCCTACTCTGCATTGATGGCGAACCTGTGGCCACGTGCCCACAGAAAGGGCCCGGCGTGCCACCTGTGGCACGCGTGCCATAGGTTCGCCATCAATGCTTTATACTGAAAAGTAGAAAATAACGTGAAAGTAACAAAGATCACTGCCGTTTCACACAATGTTAAAAAACTGATATTTTAGAAACAATGTATTTTTTTCCCTTAAATCTATTTTGGGCTATATTGCATACCAGTAACCTAGTAAACAGCCACTATAATTATTATTTCTTTTTTTTAAAATATGCCACATCTGCTTACAGTACTTAGTATTTATTTATATAAATTTATTTTAACCAGATATCTGAGCTACAGAGAAACAGACCTTACAGAACAGGTCTCCATTCTACGGATGTATAGTGTAATGTTGCAACCTTTTCAATATTCTGCTGTATACCATTTGGTGTATATCATGTCCTCTTATCTCAATGCGGACAAGTTTACATAACTGTAGTTAAGTGAGGGAGGGACAGATCTGTGCATCAAGTCAAAAGCACACGATTAGGAAGGCTGCCAAGTTAAAGTGTTAAAATATAAGGGATTATTTCAACTGAACAATGTTGTCTTTTAAATAAACAGGCCTTGCGTGCGGTCTGAAATGAACAGGATGTGTCTGCAAAGATAAAGAAAAGCTAGATGCATATTGATGTCTTCTGTATTATCCCTCAAGGTTTCAAGGCTGATGTAAATGAAGGTTTATTCTATCCAAGAGTACATCTGGCAAAGTTTCAGTTTTAAAAGTCTTTGTCAATCGTGGTATAGATGAAGGCTTTGACGGCATTTGTCAAGGCATGGAGGTAAAGTGCATCATGTGGTCAGATACAATTAATTACCAAGATAATGTGCAAGAACACAAGATAAATTACGTATATTATTACATATTTATATTAAAAAGTTGTAATGTTTTTCCTTCTAAGTAAAATTATTTTACTAAGATTTATTTATTTTTCCTACAAAAGCCAGATAACTAAAGGAGCACCCTCGCACATACACTGAAGGAGCATGTCAGCCTGGCACCGAGCACGCCAGACTGACTGACAGCCATCTGGCTGTTCCCCAACATAGAAGATCATGCATAGAGCACTATTGAAGCGCTCTCTGCATGGTCCTAGTGCCTAGCGCAAGCGTATCTAATGGTGGCCTAACGATGTGTTGCCTGGGACCGTTACCTGGTGTACCCGGATACAAAATTGGGACAATGGGTCATGACATTAAAATAGGGACTGTCCCTCCAAAATCAGGACAGTTGGGAGGCTTGCACAAAGTGATATTTCCTGCATACTCACAGATCGGGGGTGCTGATTGCTGAAAATCACTACAGAGTTCCATGCTGCCTCTAGAAGCAAAATTACTATGCATCAGGAGCTTTATGTAGGTGTCCATGGCCGAGCATGCTCTATACAAACCTTATACCAACATGCGCAATGCCAAGCATCAGCTGGAGTGGTGTAAAGCCACCATTGGAATCTGGAGCAGCAGTAACTTGTTCTCTGTGTTGAAGAATTACACATCACTATATGGCAATCTAATTGAAGAATTTGAATACGGCAGATGCCCAAAGAACACTACTTACCGAAATAATGCAGAGGAAGTCGAGTCGAGTACAGAGTCCTGATCTCTACTCAATGAACACCTTTGGGATGAATTGGAACATCAATTGTAGATTATGCTAACTTTAGTGTACCGATAATCTTAATTTTATTAATGACAGGAGGCGAGTATTTGCTTAAGTCTTTCTTTACTTAAGCTTCACAGCAGCACTTTTTTACTTAGTAACAGGGTAACCAATCAGAAAAAGAGATAACAAGGTATAAGAGTCCCTCCCTGTGATGTCACTTCCTCTTTCTGGCTGCGAACAAATAGGAACAGGGACTGTAACTGAACCAGATGAAGAATTCAGGATGCCAGATGAGAAAGCAAATGTTAGAGAGGGAACAGGAACGTAAACATGTCTTCTTAGAGAGCCGAGGTGATGCTTGAGATGGAACGGCAACTGAACTTGTCTTCATGAGGGGCTTTATGCTGAAACGAGAAAGCAGAATCGAAACCAAGGATTAATCCGAGAATTGGATTTATAAAATATGACATTCGGTATTTAGAAAATCTCGTCTAAAAGCCCACCTCCTACTAAGTGTAACCTATCCACCCTTAGAGAGAAAACCCTTAGCCCTCCCCACAGTAGAGGTACCTAGAGTATGTATTTAGTCTAGATGAACTTACCTAGATAGGTGACCTTAGGGAGGGGAAAAAGAACGAGAGTGAAGGGTGGGAAATACTCGCCTCCTGTCATTAATAAAATTAAGATTATCGGTACACTAAAGTTAGCATAATCTACAATTTTGTAACATGACAGGAGGCTTCGTATTTGCTGTTTTAACGCTCCCCAAGAAGGGCTAAGGAAGCGTGCACAGCCGGACGAAAATAGAAGTTGCGGAAAGTCTGTTCCCGGGACCAGTCTGCTGAGTGGAGAATGTCCCGAAGTGAGGCTCCAGCGCTGAAAGCTCCCGATGCCGCCGCTCCCCTGATAGAGTGGGCTCCGAAGGAGGCCTCAATCCCAGCGAGGGAGAGCAACCACCTAACCCATCGGGCAAGGGTTATGGTTGACACCGGATTATGTGGACGGACGTAGGAGATCAATAGTTGGCTGGAGGAGGTTGAACGAAGGGAGGAGGTGAGTAGTAAATAACGAGAGAGAAGTGATACCACACACAATTTTGGATGGTTAGGGAAATAAGGGTAAAATACCGAAGAAGAGTTTGATTTTGTCCGTCTGGACACGGAAAAGGTGACACCTTCGGGGGAAAAATTGATAGCGTCATGGTCAAATGCTCGAACATCCGACACTCGTCGGAAGGATACTAAGCAGAGTAGCAAGGTGAATTTAGCCGAGAGTTGACGGAGGGTTAGATCTTCGTTGTTCGGCCAGGTTTCCAGGAAACGAATCATGACGTTAACATCCCATAGATGGGAGTATTTTGGTGTTGGGGGGCGAGCCAGTTTGATGCCCCTCAATAGTCTGCAAACCAGCGGGTCCTGGCCCGCTGGAATTCCATGTAGAGGGACATGGGCTGCCGAGATTGCTGACCGGGCCACGTTGATGGACCGGTATGTACGGCCTAAGTCGAACAGGTGTGAGAGGAAATTCAGTATGGACTGTCTAGGGGCTGTAAGGGGATCGGTATTCCGTTCCATGCACCAATTGCACCAAGTACTCCAGGAAGAAAGGTAGCATCTTCTGGTTCCAGGAGCCCAGGAATCCCAGAGAAGTTCTTTAGATCTCTGCGATAATTCTCCGAAATTCCAGGATCCCCTGAAAGAGTCCAAGCCACTAATTGGAGATGACCTTGCATTATCATCGGATGAGGGTTTCCTTGAGGGTCCTCTAACAGGTTGGGCCATAGAGGTAGAAGGAGGGGATGTTGGCAGGAGAGGTCCAGGAGATCTGGGAACCATGCTTGGCCCTGCCAGAGCGGGGTGAGTAGTACCAGTGTGACCTGTTGTCTGCGAATCTGAAGAAGGGTTCTTGGGATCATCGCGAACGGAGGGAAGGCGTAGGCTCCCGTCGTCGGCCATTTCTGAAGAAAGGCATCTACTGCCAAACATTCCGGATCTGGTAGCCAGCTGAAGAAGCGTGGGACTTGAAAATTCGTCCGGGAGGCGAACAGGTCCAGAGTAAACGGGCCCCTGAGTTTGGAGACGTGGAGGAAGACTGACCTGTGTAAGCGCCAGTCGCTGCCGTCTCTCCAATGTCGGGAGAACCAATCCGCAGTGGTGTTCGTCTCCCCCGGGAGGTATTCTGCCCGGAGTGTTATGTTGCGCTGGAAGCAAAAATTGTAGATGTCCTTTGTCACCTCGGACAGGGTGTGAGATCTGGCCCCGCCCAATTTGTTGATGTATTGAACGGCCGAGATATTGTCCATTCGGAGGAGAATACAGCAGTCTGAGAGATGATTGGCCAGACTGCGGATTGCAAACGATCCTGCGATTAATTCCAGACAGTTGATGTGGAGAGAGTGTTCTGCGTCGGTCCATGGTCCCCCGGTGGAAGTTGTATGACAAGTTGCACCCCAGCCTTGGAGGCTCGCGTCTGATTCCACCACAAAGTCCGGAGTGGGACCAAAAATTGCTTTGCCGTTCCAGGCAGACATGTGGCGAAGCCACCAGTAGAGTTCCTCCCTCACCTCGGTAGTGATCGGGACCCTTTGGTCGTATGATGGATGGGTCTGGAGGAATTGAGCCTTCAAGCGTTGCATGGCCCGATAATGGAGGGGACCTGGGTAGATTGCTTGAATGGAGGCAGAAAGCAGGCCTATAATCCGAGCCAAACCTCGGAGAGGTAGATCCACTTGGCGAAGCGTCTTGCGCAGTTCCTTCCTGATCGCGGTTAACTTGGACTGAGGCAGGCGGAGAACACAGATGGAGGAGTCGATCTCGAAGCCGAGAAACTGTATGATTTGGGATGGAGTCAGCGAGGATTTTTCCTTGTTGATGACGAATCCCAAGGATTCTATCAATGAGGATGTGTAGTTCGTCTGTGACTGCAGCGTGGAGATGTTGTCGCAGAGTAGTAAGAGGTCGTCGAGGTAGATTAGGCAGCGAAAACCCCTTGCTCGAAGATGTGCGGTGACTGGCTTGAGCAGTTTGGTGAAGCACCAGGGGGCGGAACTCAGGCCGAATGGAAGGCAGGTGAATTGGAAGATCCGGTGGTGCCAGGGGAAGCGGAGGAAACGTCGACTGGATGGATGTACTGGCACGGAGAGGTAGGCATCCTTGAGGTCGAGTCGGGTGAACCAATCGCCTGGACGGAGAATGTCTCTGAGGAGATGTATCCCTTCCATTTTGAAATGCCGGTATATCACGAAGGTATTCAATTGGCGAAGGTTGATTACCGGGCGAAATTCTCCCGATTTCTTTTTGACCAGGAATATGGAACTTA